AAAGTCCTCGGATGTAAACGCATCCGGACAACTGCCTACCATCCTCAAGTAAACGGAATGGTGGAGCGATTCCACCGACAGCTTAAAGTCTCGCTAGGTGATGCCAGAGCACTTAGTTGGACAGAAGTCCTGCCAAAGGTACTAATCGGAATTCGAACAGCACCGGAAGCCGATATCGTAACGTCCAGCGCCGAACTGGTCTATGGACAACCACGACAATTACCAGGCGACTGCTGTGAAAGCCGAACCCAGTTCGCTAGGACGCGCACTACGCTCGGCAGCTAGCTACGAGCATGCACCGCAATAAATCGACCGCAGTACGGAAACAGCATCGCAAGTTCCCAAAGATCTTCACAACTGCTCGTTTGTCTTCATTCGCATTGATGGTCTACGCAGACCACTCGAACGACCTTACGAAAGTCCATTCAAGGTCCCACAACGTAAGGATCGCTTCTTCGTTATGGAACGCAACGGCAAGCAAGAAACTGTCTCAATCGACCGCCCCAAAGTTGCTTACGGTGAACCAGAGTCGAACAACGAGTCCAGTCCTTCGTCCTCCGATGAATCGACCCAAATAATGGTGAAGGAAACGCCTGCAGACAGCGAGACCACAACTGGAAACCCATCTCCTGATCCCTCCGACTCCGTAACGCCTAAATATGTTACTAGGTCTGGTCATCGGGTTCACTGGCCGACACGTTTTTTAGAACGTTAGATTAGCACTTTTGCTTCTAACAGCGTTTTCAGGTTTCCATTCGAGTCAGTACACTCCGAAAACCGCAAAATGTTTTGAAAACTCAAAAACATCGCAAAAGGTTTTGAAAACCGGGAGAAAACGTATTAAAAATCGATAAAAAAGAGTTGTTCGCTGCCTATTCGGTAAATGCTCTTACCGTCCGTTGCTGTCGCCACTTCTGTATGCCTGATCTCACCCGTTTCTTTTTTCTTTCTTTTCATTTTGCGAACCGGAGAACACTCACTCGTGGTCAAACACAAACACGAGCACACAACGCTACCTCATGCCCACAGGACCTACTGTCCAGGCGGCTAATAACACGAGAATCCAGACCTACGGTCAGAAATTGATTACTCTCCAGCTTGGTCTTCGACGAATATTTTCTTTCGTTTTCCTGATCGCAGATGTACAACGCCCCATTATCGGTGTCACTTTCCTCACCCAATTTGGTCTTATTGTCGACTTACGTAACAGGGAACTTCGTGATAGTATCACCTCCCTCACCAATCCGGGTAGAGCCACTTCGATCAGCTCGATCGGGTTTCGCATGACCCTAGCTACTAACACTGTGTTCACCGAGTTACTCCAACAGTTCCCCGCGTTGTATCTGCCGTTCAATAATCGTCCCGCACCCAAACACGAGATTGTGCATCACATCGTTAATTGTGGACCACCGGTCACTTCTCGACCTCGACGAATACCGCCAGCTAAACTGGCCAACGAAAAATCCGAGTTTGAGCACATGCTCCGTCTTGGTGTCGTCTGGCCTTCTACTAGCCCATGGTCTTCACCTTTGCACATGGTCCCCAAAAAGTTTCGTAGAAATTGGCGACCTTGTGGTGATTACCCTCAGCTTGAGATCACTGTCCGACAGGTATCCGGTACCACATATTCACGACTTTTCTATTGGCCTAGACGGCAAAGCAATTTTCTAAGATTGACTTGGTCCGGGCATATTACCAAATACCTGTCGCCCCTGATGACCTTCCCAAGACAGCTATAACCACCCCTTCGGACTTTTTGAATCTGTACGTTTTTTGGACTACGAAACGCCGCGCAAACATGCCAACGATTCATTGACCAGGTTCTCCGAGGATTTGATTTTGTTTTTGCTTATATCGATAATATTCTCGCGGCCAGCTCTAAACACGAAGAACATCTCTTTCTTCTTCGCCAAATGTTTGAGCGCTTTGATCATTATGGCGTTACCATCAACGTGGACAAACGTGTCTTTGGTCAGTCCAGTGTTGATTTTCTCGGTCATCGAATCGATCGCACCGGAATCAGTCCACTCCCGGAGAAAACAAAAGCAATCACAGAGTATCCGATGCCGCATCCTACAAAAGCCTGCTCAGTTTCCTCGGTATGGTGAATTATTACGGCCGCTTTATGTGATTGCTATAAACTGCTTCAACCTTTAACCGACTTGCATAATGGAAAGACTCGAAAATTCAAACCCACGGACGAAGCAATAGACGCTTTCGACAATTCTAAACATGCTTTGTCTAACAGCACAGCGTTGAGCCACTTACGGACTGATGTAAATACAACACTCATCCTTAAAACCGATGCGTCAAAAACCGCAGTTGGAGCCGTTCTGCAACAACTCATCAATGGTCATCCCGAACCACTATCCTTATTCTTCCGTAAATTACAACCCGCACAAACTAGGTATAGTAGCTTCGGAAGAGAACTTTTGGCCATCTATCTCGCCATTAAACTGATCACAAGTCATTTACTTTTGCCATTCGGGGTTCTTCGGACCGTTTTTCCCCTCGTGAAACCCGAAACCTTGATTACATATCGCAGTTCTCTACTGACATCCGTCATATAGACGCCACTGACAACGTGGTAGCCGACGCAATGTCCCACATGGGAATTCACGAATTTTCAAGTCCGACATTTGATTTAGAGGAAATCGCTGCCCATCAGGAGGGAGATTCTGAGTTTATGCAAATGAACTCAAACCTTTCGATAAAACTTACCCTTCTGCCGCTTCTTAACTCGGACTCAAGTTCATTGTGACATGTCTACGGGTAAGCCCCGACCCTAGGTTCCCCAACGTCACTGCCGATTCGTTTTCGATCATTTCCACGGGCCCTCGCACCCAGGCATTCGGGCTACTGTTAAGTTGATCAGAGACCGCTTTGTTTGGCCCAATATGCTCTCTGACATCCAGCAGTGGGCAAAGCACTGTGTTATGTGTCAGACCAGCAAGGTCCATCGCCATACAATCACTGTCCCTGGCACTTTTTCATTACCGGATGCTCGCTTCAGGCATATTCATTTGGATATTGTTGGCACTTTGCCCCCTTCCAACGGTTTTCAATGCTTTCTGACGTGTTGATAGATTTACCCGTTTGCCGCACGCAGTGCCATTAAGGGACGTTTCCATTGACAAAGTAGCGCGAACCTTCATCGAAACGTGGATTTCTTTCTTTGTCGCACCTGCTACTATCACGACAGAGGTCCGCAGTTCACTTCTTCGTTGTTTCATGATCTAAGTCGTTTGCTCGGTTGTTCTCACATGCGCACAAGCGCTTACGATCCCGCTGCCAATGGTTTGGTCGAACGCTTCCATCGCCAACTGAAAGCTTCGATTACCGCATCTCAGTCGAGCACGCAATGGTCGGAGCGTTTGCCAATAATCCTACTTGGCATACGTAACACGGTCAAGGAAGACATAGACTGTTGTCCTGCTGAGTTAGTTGTTGGCACGCCACTTAGACTTCCTGGAGAGATGGTGATGGATTCAAGCGTCACTGGAGAAATGGATCTTACATCCATGTCATACGCCTGAGGAGTCACTTCCGCTCGGTACGCCCAACACCACGACTCACGCCTCGTAACCCACAGGTCCATCCTGATCTTCGCGACTGCCACTACGTTCTTGTGCGCATCGATAATGTTCGTAAACATCTGACGCCACCCAATGAGGGTCCTTGCAAGGTTATGGACCGCAAGAACAAGTATTTTGTGTCGGACCGAAATAGCTGCAAACACTCTGTAAGCATCCATCGTTTGAAACCCGCTTACATCGAACTTTTTCCGTCTCAGCAATCTTTAGACACATCTGTTCCCGATGATGATCCATCGCCGAGCACTCCTCCTACACAGCCTATGTGTGGTCCCAGTGTCCTTTCTTCGCAACCCCTGCAACACCCACTACAACCACTCACACACACACGCACACGTTTTGGTTGTACAGTGGTTCTACCATCTAAACTACTGTTTTATAATCAGTGAGACGTACATTTCGAGCATTCGCTTGCCCACTCACGCTCTAGGGGATAGTCCTGTAGTGTTCATAGCTTTTACATTTTTTGCGCTTTTCTCATTTGGTTTTTCTATGCGTCTTGCACAGTTGTTTCAATTGACCTTTTTTCACACACATTTCTAGACCCCGAACGGCGCGTTCTGCTTTGCTGCGGCGGCTGTTGAGGTGATTTTGTTTGTATGCTTGGGAAGTCGGAGCTACGCGGAACCAACACTGGAATATCGTATCAGTGAGTGTGCAATATCAGTGGAGTTAGTCCAACCGTCACTACTGATGGTCAGCGTGTTGATACTTTTATCTGACACTAATCCTTTCCTTGCGTTTCGGTAGTTTAAGACTAGTTTTCACTTCACTACAAGACTTTGTCGAAGGCCATGCTGAAGTCAATCTAGATAACATTCAGGTTTCAGGTCCTCTACCGCTTTCACCCCGTCGCAACGAGACTGGACCTTAACGTGGTGCGACGGTTTGCGTACCTCATTGACCCATTGAGCTATACTGGGTGGTGCCTCTGGCACTTTGAGCTACTCATACAACGTTGGTCAATGGTGAGAGGTCAGACAAACTCAGTCTCCTGGTCCTCCAGGTTGGGGGTTTGAAATGGGATGGCGTCCATTTCTGTAAAACTAAATCACTGCCACCCCGCTGCCTTGCGGACAGGCTTTTGAGCCAAAGGCTTTGGATAAGGACCCTAATCGTCCTCCTGTCTAGGTCTGGGCGCCCTGGCAGTATCTCAGCCCACATACAACCATGACATTTTCTTCAAACATAAACTTCATCCTGCATCGGCCGTAACGCAGATTATCAAGGGTCGCCTTATCTGCTGCATACAGCAGGGCGGATAAGCGAAAGCATGCTACTGCTGGCGCCTCCCTTCTTTCTTTTCCACCTTTTTCTCTTACTCCCATCCCGACCCCCATTGCTAACCTTCCTTCTATAATTCCCAGCCTAATTGACAGCAACCGAAGTGCTACTGGAGTAGAACCATCTGCAGCCACCATCCCACCGCACCTATCGGACGCCTATCGGCAAAAGTCCCTTATAAGGCCACGCTGTCCCGTTTCCATGGCGACATTCAACGTCCGCACTCTAAGACAAACAGGTCAGCAGGCTGCACTCGCACGCACCTTGGACACACTGGGTGTTGATGTGTGTTGTGTGTCCGAAACTAGGATTAATGACCCTAACGGGGTTATTGAATTGACTGCACCCGGCTTATCCTCTCGTTATTGGTTGCACGCATCCGGAGACGCCGATGCGGCACTCACGGGTCAAGCTGGTGTAGGTATCATTCTCAGCTCCAAGGCTGAGTCATCATTGGTTGATTGGATTCCGGTGAACAGCCGTTTATGTGCAGCCCGTTTGACGACATCAGCTAAGGTGAATTCGCGAAGTAGTACAAAACGCTGTTTGTTTGTGATTTCCGCTTATGCTCCCACGGACTGCAGTTCTAATGCAGTCAAGGACACTTTCTATCACGAACTGAACACGCTGCTACGCAGTGCTACTAGTTCAGATATTATAGTACTTGCAGGGGATATGAACGCACAAATAGGGCGTCTGAGCTCTTCAGAAGCTCAGCTGGGTGGTAATTATGGACTTAACTCCGAACGGACTGACAACGGTGAGCGTCTGCTGCAACTGTGTGCAGAGCACCAGTTGTTTCTTACTAGCACTGCTTTTAGACACAGTGGGCGCCGAAGTGCCACTTGGCGTCCTCCTGTAGCTGGCCAGCGATGGACCCAAATTGACCACATAGCCATAAGTTACAGGTGGCGCGGTTCCATTCTGGATTGCCGCTCGTACTGGAGTACCTGTGTCGACTCTGATCATGCCTTGGTGCGCTGTCGTTTCTCCATGAACTTTACCGGAAGGCGCACCAAGCGTCTCCCCCGATTGGCAACGGAGAAATTGTCCCAGCCCTCGGTCAGGCGAGCCTATCAAGAAGCATTGCATACCGAACTCTCGCTGTCTTGTCCTAATGACACTGAACTTCAGTGGAATAGGGTCTCGGTCGCCATGCACGACGCAGGAGCATTTGCTTGTGGCACTATCAGTCGTCACCGCACCAGTCACTGGATATCCGAGAGGTCCGTGAACCTGTTGGAAGCTAGAAGACACCTCCCGGCTGGTTCTGAACACAATGTGACCAGACGGGCTATTAGGCGTGAACTAAAGCGGAGCCTAAGTGCTGACAAGGAAGCCTGGTGGACCAGTAGGGCTCAAGAAATGGAGGAGGCAGGAGCAGTAGGCAATTACCGCAAGCTCTTCCAGCTGATCCGCACCACTGGTCCCAGAAAACCGGGCGTCAGTGAGATAATCAGAGACAGCGCGGGTGCGCTGATACACAATAAGGAGCGCCGTATGGCTCGTTGGGCTGAACACTTTCAAGATCAGTTCAGCTGGCCCCTGCTCCCTTACCTCTTCCCACTCAGGTGATGCAGGACGAGCCATGGAGTTTGAGCCTCCGTCGGAGGCCGAGGTCCGAAACGCGATCACAGCCCTCAATCGTTTTCGTGCCGCTGGCCCGGATTCCCTACCACCTGCACTATTTAAGGATGGAGGTGAGGTCCTCTGCAAGGCACTGACCTCCCTATTCGCACGTATCTGGAACGAAGAGTGTGCCGGCTAATTGGAGCGAATCGATTATAGTGGCAATATACAAGAAGGGCAGTCGCACAGACTGTGCGAACCACAGGGGTATTAGCCTAACGCCAGTTGTGACAAAATTACTGGCCTCGATTATCGTTCGTCGCCTCACTGCAGAACGGGAATCCCGGATTAGGGAAGAGCAGGCCGGTTTTCGCCCAGGACGTGGCTGTATAGACCATATATTTACTTTGCGGCAAGTGCTAGAGCAGCGCCACGCATACCGCAGACCGACAATAGCTGTGTTCCTCGATTTCAAGAGTGCGTTCGATTCAGTCGATCGATCGATTCTGTTCGAAATACTTGCGCGGAAAGGTGTTCCCACGAAATATGTGAACATCCTTCGTGCTCTATACTCGAACACTACAGGTCGCGTCAGGGTCTATGGTGCCCTATCGGATAGCTTTTCGACTACAAGTGGCGTTCGTCAGGGTTGTCCGATTTCCCCGTTTTTGTTCAATTTCGTCGTAGATTCTATCATGGAGTGTTCCCTTGCGGAATCTCACAATGTAGGCGTTGAAGTGCTGCCTGGTGAAAGGTTAGTTGACCTAGATTATGCGAACGATATCGCCTTGCTTTTCGACAATGTTGAGGCGGCACAATCAACCCTAAATAGCTTGTCCAGAGTGGTCCCATTGTTTGGTATGCACTTCGCACCTTCAAAGTGCAGTGTTGCTGCAGGACCACCAGCCACTTGATGACCCCTTGACGCTTGCTAACGAGGAACTCGAGGTGGTTGATCATTTCATTTATCTTGGCAGCTGCATCAGCAATGATGGGCGCATAGAAACTGACGTGAGCTCACGCATTACAAAGGCCAGAGCTGCCTTCTTGAACCTGCGGCATCTTTGGCGACAGAAGGGAGTTTCTCTCCGTTTGAAAGGCCGTGTATACAAGGCCACAGTGAGGGCCGTTCTGCTCTATGGTAGTGAGACTTGGCCCCTTCGGTCTGAAGATCTGAGACGCCTCCAAGTCTTTGATCATCGTTGTTTGCGAAGCATTGCTGGTGTCGGATGGCACCAGCGTGTCCGCAACGATGATGTGCGTAGGCAAGTACTAGGTAGTGATAATCATGCTAGCTCCCTAGAACAACAGATAGCACTGAATAAGTTGCGTTGGCTCGGGCACGTGCTACGCATGCCTGGTCACCGCTTACCTAGGAGGGCCTTGTTCAGTCTACCAGGTGTCGGATGGCGCAAGGCTCGAGGTAGACAGAAGTTGACTTGGCAGCGGGAAATGAAGTCACTGACGACCAAACTGGGTGCCGTTGGTCCGTCTCGCCTTCCGGGTTGGAGTCCACGTGACTCACCTTGTGCTTGGCTCGAGACTTTGCAGGACATGGCTCGCAACCGACACCAGTGGCGCGTCTGCTGCCGTCTCCTAATCGGATTGTCTGTTTAAAGTGTGTTTGGTGCTGAGTTATCTGCGGGGTAATGGCTGATTATGACGCGGGGCAGTGAAATCCGCAAGGAAGCTGTCTCGCCGATGCTGCCTTATCTTTGCACGATAGCCAGCTGTTTGTGACGGTATGTTGTTAACACAAGGTGTAGGCGCCTTGACCCTGAATGTTTGCTTAGGGCATTAAGGTTTTCAGATAAGTCCCTCTTTCTCTCCCCTTTTCTTATTCTTTACTTCATAGGTCCTCATGGTTGTATGGCAGCGAAGCATCAGTTCAAATGGCTGATGTACTGCTGTTGATGATGATGACCGCTTTCACCCAGGCTTCTCTGGCAACCAGCAGGTTAGAGATGCAGGAGCGAGCTATGCGGAATGCGTGCTGAGCGGGGGAGATGGCGCAAAGGCTTTCGCACTGGGTTTGGAGGGCGCGTTTGACGATCCGTTTCATGAGTTTTCAGCTCACATACGTAAGGCATATTGGTCGATAGTTTGCAGGATCTTGCCGGTTCCCAAGTTTATACCTAGGCATTACACTCCCTACTTTCCAGCCAGTTGGTAGGCGTCCGTCTGCAAGAGAAGGCCGGATGAAGTCCATCAGGACCCGGTGCGGAGTTAGGGTTCAGTTCAAAAATGAGTCTCTTGACTATCTCCGGATTGCTTTCGGCTTGCTCGAGAGGAGGGCAATGCATTGCCAGATCGACAGTGGGTAGCGACAGCTCCGCGGAGTAGGTAGAGGTGTACTGGGGGCCAGTAGTTGAGCCTTCTGGTCACCTTCGTAGACCAGTGTGTCCTCTTCCTGACAAGATAGATCGGGGATACCACTGCGAGCTTTGGTGTTTTATTTCAGGTACGAGCACAGCTTCATTGAGCAGGTTCGTGATTGCATGACTGGGCTACGTTCGTATTGTAATCGTTTCTGGCGTTTTCCTAGGGTGCACAGACTCCCGATCACTTTGTACTTCGAGTAATCTGACGTTACCAGACCTGACTTGAATATAGCCCACAGATTGCGTCGTCTGTTCATCAGGGATCGCATCTCTCGGTCGATCCAGGAGGAACTGCCTAGAGAATCTAATACTTGAGCGAATAATCGTTAACGAGTATCACATCAGATTTCAGATGGACTGGAACGATAGGAAAATCCCTTGAGTGTTCCTCCTTGAGCGAATCGTTGAACCAGGAAATGATAAGGTGCTAGGTTTTGATAGATCTAAAACGAAGCACCAGAAACACATCCGGATCAACCAATTACTGCCCACGTTCCCCGCACTAGCAGTCCCCGATGTGTAAGTTACGTGAAGTAAGAAAGAAGTAGAAAATAAATGGAAGATAAAGGGGAATGAGAGTCATTAAAATGAGAGATAGCCCCAAGGAATGAAGAGAATGACAGAATAAGAACGAAAAATTTGAAGATGGATATGGTCAGGGGAAGGGAAAGGTTTCGTGTTGCCACCCAAGAGTGTCTAACTGACGCTCGAAACTTTTAACCGTAGGTTCACTGACTACAGTTTCTGGAAGCAAATTTCAGCGCTCGATAACTCTACGCGATAACCGAGTTTCCGCCCTGATCCGGTAAGAACGCGGCTTGTGTAACTTCTTGGGATGACCGCGAAGACAAGGTAACGTAGCCGGGCTAAATAGCCAGCTCAAGTCCAGGTCCAACCTTCCCTGTTAAAATGCGGTAAGTAAGGATTAGATCTCCTCGAAGCCGTCGGTAGTGCATTGAATACATACCCAAGCTAAGTGACGCTCGGGGTACGATTGCCCCCGTAACCCCTCGACCAACTTGGTACCAATTCTCAAAACCCTCTCGAGCTCCTTTTTGTCACGAACAAGACAGGGCGGGCAGGCCTAGAGGCAGTAGTCGAGATGGGGCCGAACGAAAGCTGAGAACACCTTCACAAATATGTCGGCAGTTAAGACCCCGAAAGAACGGCGTATTAACAACAACATTCTGAAACCTCCACTTGCGGCCTTCTTCCAGTTGTCACCAGAATGCAAAGACGAGAAATGGACGACGCCTAGGTCTACGTAGCTTGAAGGCGGGAAAGTTGCTCCTATACAAAGGACGGAACACAGCCTGTTTTATCGGCAGTAGCCACAAAGTAGCCCAGTCACAGAGTCTGTCCAGTGCATGCTATATGGCCTCAGAACCCCTAGGAACATTTACAACATTCCATAGCTTAAGTTCATCAGCAAACAATAGGGATGATACCCCAAGCTCTCCAGGGAGATTGTTTACGTAGATGGAGAACAGCATCGGTCCAAGGACCGAGCCAGGTGGGACACCGATAAGGACACCTTGCCTAAAGGATAAGCTGCGACCCACACGTACACACTGCTCGCTTCCATGCAAGAACGCAGATATCCAGTGAAGAGCGCGGCCAGATACACCGTAGGAGCTCAGCTTTTGTGATAGCCTAAAGTGGGGTACCTTATCAAATGCTTTCGAAAAGTCTACGAAAAGCACATCCACTATGTGGCCATTGTTCATTGCCTAGGCCCAAGCTTCACGAGCAACCAACAAATTCGTCAAACACGAAAACCCCTTCCGGAATCCATGTTGTGCACTACTGAGTAGATTAAATCTATTCAGGTGACATTCCAACGAATCGCTCACCAGCTTTTCAAGCAGTTTGATTACGACGCTAGTCAGACTGATTGGCCTATAATTGGCTGACAGACACCTGTCACGAATTTTTTTAAGATAGGACAGATGACAGCCTCCTTCCAGCTGTCAAGTGACTTCTAAAACACCATCGTCAGCAGTCCACTTAATTCCCCCGCCAACTCATTGAGCTTGAAGGTTTTGGAATATCCTGGTTTCTGCACGTCAGGTCAGGTCAAACGGACGATAGAGGCTTCCGCCTAACGAGTGTCCAGTTCTTGTGCCGGTAAGTGAAGCGGCCCCCGGCACTTCGACGTTGGATTGTCTCTTCTTGCTTCTGCAATGGAATGAAGCAAGAACAAGAGCAATCTTCGCACTTTTATATGCCAGCATCGAAACACACTACATATTTCAGTACAACTACATCTCTGGAAAAAGAATGGACCAACAATTGTCTAAGCCCTTTTTGAAGGCTTCTACGGCCTCAGACTCCATTAATTCAGAAGGAAGTTTATGCCAAAGTTAACTACTCGATTCGTAAAAAACTTTGCCCAGATGGCCAAACGAGCTCTATGATGTTTGAGCTTCAGGCGATGCCCGCGCAGATGGGCTGACATAGCCAACTCAAACAGATTGGTTCATTGGGGTAGTAGAGAGCAGGAGGGGAAATCCCTTGTCAGCTCCATCGCTTCCCGATCATTGCTGGGATGCTCGTCATTGCGCAACGGGAACTCCGGAGAGGCCATCGCACTCGTAGCTGAAGCAACACGATCCCGGCATATTCAACAGGTGTGAATCAAGTAGTAGTTTGAAGCAACCCTCTGTCTGTGCATCAACGACTGGCGGCGGTAACTGGTTCCAATTATTCACAACGCGAGAGGATAGAGCAAAAATGGACCGTACTTTGAGCCTCCGTGGCTTGAAGATTTTCCATTGGTGGCCTCTAGTCGAACTCCCGATGTTGAGGTGGAAGAATTCCTGCAACAAACTAATTCTCCCCTGAGGATACGACGGGTAAAAATCAAGTCCCCACGCCGACGGCTGTAATCCACAGAAAACATATTCAAATGTCGAAGCCGAAGGGGATACGGCAGGTCACGTAAGTCGGAAACAAACTTCGATCCACGCCGCTGGACCTTTTCGATCATGTCTCGCTCAACCTTGGAAAGCGGGTAGGCAGCAGGGAGGCCGTATTCCAAAATCGGGCGCACATGCGAGGTGAACAGAATTCTAAAATGTTCCGGTGTCAAGCGACTGAAAGCTCTTCGTATGGCATGAAACATCCTGTAGGCAGCGGCAACCCTCTTCATGATGTCCTGAGTGGATCTTAAGTCCGGGGAAACAATCACGCCCAGATCTCTCTCTGAAGTAACATTTCTGAGCAAGAAACCACCTATGTGGTAAGCGACGAATGGTTCAGGAGCGCCGATAGGCAGGACGGAACATTTGTCTTGATTAATGGGTAAGCGCCACTGAACCGACCAAGTGTGCAGGAGATCGAGTGTCTCTTGTAGTCGATCAGCATCCTCTAGAGAGGATACCTCCTTCCATACCTTTAGATCATCCGCATAAATCAAGCAATCCGATTGTAGCTCCGACGGTTGATCGTTGATGAAGATGTTGAAGAGTTCGGGGCCTAGGGCGGAGCCCTGTGGAACACCGCTGGTCATATGAACAGGATCGGAATACGTTTCGTTCACTCTCACCAGCATGGAACGGGAGTGTAGGAAATCGGAAATCCAGGAAAGAAAGTTTCCAGAGACACCGATTCCTCGGAGTTTGTAGAGAAGCTGTTCATGAGGGACCTTATCAAAAGCTTTACTGAAGTCCACGAACACAACATCCAGGCGTTTGCCAACATCCAATGAATTTGCCCATTTTTCTCTAGCCATAAGAAAGTTGGTAGAGCAGGAGCAAGCTCTGCGAAAACCATGGGTGGAACTAATAGCGCTAAGTTCCTTAATGATCCTAAACGTCTCTATCAAATCCCCTCAACCTACGCCGTTCCAAGGAAAATAACCCTAAACTACTTAGACGATTTTCGTAAGACTTCCCTCGCTGACCTTCAATCACCCTGGTGGCAAGTTTCTGAATCTTTTCTATACAAATGTCACTCCGGAGGTACGATGACCAGGCCTGAACACAATACTCCAGATGTGGCCTAACCACTGCTTTATATAATGTCAAGAATACTTCTGCTTTAGTGTTATTCAGCGCCCTCCTAAGACGAAATAACTCATTTCGCGCTTTATTAACAGCATGGCGACACTGTGCCGAAGGCTTAAAATTGTTCGCTACGATGACACCTAGATCACGGGCTTCGTCAGTACACCTCAATGATATAGATCCGACAGGAGACTGAACTGCAATTCCGCTACCACTACTAGTCAATAGTTGACATTTATTGGTATTTAGAGGTAAGTCACATTGGCTTGATCAATTCACCATAGTGGTGATGTCCTTAGCCAATGTCGCTCGGTTTCCCCTACTGACTAGCTTCAAGTCATCTACAAAGATGTAGCAGGGATTCTCAAGAAGAGGAGCCAGGTAATTTATATACATAAGAAACAACAATGGACCCAGTACCGAACATTGGGGGACACCGCTGTAGGCATGGCCAACACTAGAACTCACTTCCCCAACCCTGACTGAATGTCCTTCCACGTAAGAATTCAGAGAGCCATAGTAGTAGTTGAGGATGCAATCCAAACCATGTCAGCTTCTCAATTAAAAATCGTGATTCACTGAGTAAAAGGTTTTACTGAAGGCCAAATA